ATCTTCTTGAGTCAACATTCTTTCTTCATCTATATAGAGTGTCTGTTTGTACACACCGAGGCAGTTTTTTTGTTTTGACGTTTTGTGTGATTTTATTCTTTCGAATAAAATCTGTGGAGGCTAGCAACTTCGAACGTGCACACCTAGTTGATCAGTTATATAGATCATTCAATGTCTACGTGAACGAAGTCGTGCAGGAGTTAATTCCTGTTCGAACATCGCGGTTGTTGCGGTTTTGTTTCCTGTTTTTAAATAGAACTTTTTATTTGTCTAAGTTTAAGCGGTTGTGTCACAATTGGTGCTTCGTGCTGTATGTTTTTTATATATTTTGCAAAGTGCAAAGCACAGTGTATTGTGGAGAACTTTGTGGAGTTTATTGAGTCACGATGTTAAATGACAGGGATGACAAAAAAGTTCTAAAGAGCTTTGACTAAGTCACACCGTATAGAGTCACCGTTGTGAGTCTCCGATCTATAAATAGATGGTTTAATCAGATATGTTTTGTGTCGGCTATTGATTGTTGTTAGAAGCGTATATGGGTTGAATTTTATAGTGTATAAGTGGCTCGAGTCCGTTTTAACCAATGAGATGAAATGTCTTTTTCTTTTCTCTGTTTTTTAGCTACATTCACCTATTCTGTTTCATTTTCATCCAATACAGTCCAAAGTACGTTTCTGACCAATAGAATGCGTGCTAAAGATGTCCCTCATAGTTATTTTCGGATTCGTCATAGTCGATTACCTATTCCCTAGAATTTTCATTAATTTATTCCAGGGTTGAGGATTCCAGAATTCGATGATCCTGTCCCTGGGTAGGAACGGGAAAACTACATTTCTGATGCCGCCACTTAACAGCCGTTTTTGTGCAACGTAATGTAGACTGTAGCTATTGCAGATGCACTATAACGTCAGGACAAAGACCATGCAGGTCTAATTCTAATGTAAACCGATATCAACGAACTATAAACCAAGTCTACACTAAGTTGTTATGAAGCGGTTATTTATTGTCACATGAAATAATTTTGATACCCTAACGCAGGTTAGCACGGGTTAAAAATGTCTTTTTCAGAAAAATTACATTTAAACGGGTTTAATTTTCAGAAATCACGCGAGCTGACGCTTCTTCCGAGTGGCGATGGATGCGAACTCGTTAAATATGATTGTGAAGGATAAAACGGGTTTTCATAAGTTTAAGTATAACGGGTTCTAACGCGTTAAGATCTTATCGATGCGTATACATGAGTTTAATACGAATAAGTTACTTTTAATGGGTTTGAACCAGTGTGAGTATCGAATGAGTTCAAAGTCCTCTTAATAATTGATGCATTCAAACCCGATTACGCGTTGAACTATCAGATTTAGTTGCTTTGGACGTGTTTACTTTTCTATGACAAAAAATTACTCTTTCCGAGAAGTTATACTGCAGAAGACACGAGCGCAGGGTTCCATATAGTGAGCGCGTTTCATCACCATTAGTTTCTGTTGTCAGAATGAACATTTTTTAAAAAACACATGAGATGATAAACAACATTTTTCAAAACAACTAAAAACACTAACCAAAATATTTTAAACAAAAAATTTATGATCGCGTGGCTATTGATCAAACAGATATGGACATTTGTTCTAGAAACTCTATTTTAAAAATGCATTCTTTGATACATAATCAACTAGCAGCTGAAACATTCTTACTGTTGATTAAATATGCTTGGTATTCAAGTGGCTATACATCAAAAGATCCTGGTCATTTTGATAATGATCAGGATGCTTGTTTTTCTTTTGAAGAAGATTTCTGTTCTATGTCAGGCTGTAATGACTGTTCTTTCATTTGTTGCAACCATTGTCGGCGTATTCTTTGCTTCAACCATTTTTTTGTACATGATTATAAACATTAAAAGATTTCCTTTTTGTTGCTCAATAAGTAATGCGTTAGTTTCATTTAAAAGAAACTCATGTTAGTTTTAAACCAACTCTTCTCAAAATATACATAGCTTTTTAATGAACGGCATATCTTAAAAAAGGAAATATTTCGACAAAAGAAACTCATACTTCGGAATATACCTCAAAAAGTCTCTTGATCCCTTCTCTGCGCATCATTCGCGATAAAATAAATGAAATAAGCTATCCTGTAGAATTGCTCGTGCACTATAAAATGGTACGTAACTTGACTGACTTTTTCCATCTTCTATACCAAATATGTTTGTATTCTATTAATATTTCAGATATTTGACTCGGTTCAAACGCTTTTAACTTTGTAGATGCTGAAGGAATGGCCGCTTTCGTGGCAGCAACAATCCTTTTAGTGATGAATTCATTATATTTATCAATATCGTTGGGTGTTACTACAGGTGTTACAGTATCCCATTGACTAAGTAAACTGTTGAGCTCTTGACGGTAGCTTTCGTTCTCGTTGTCCGATTTGCTTTCGCTTTATCGTTTTTATTATTGCGGTCTTTTGCGCTAAGACTGTTGCATATTTGTGAAAATATCTTCACTATGTGTTGGTGCATTTGATGTGCTGTTACTTTGTCTTGAAGCTTGAGTATCACCAGCACCAAGAGTAATATCATTTACCGGTAATTGCATTTTAGAAGATTCATCGACTTCGTACGCGTCTGATTCTGAGCTATGATCATCCACGGTTAGTTGCCGATGTTCGTTTTTTTGTTTTGTTTGTTCCATTTCTTTTTTTAATTGTTTTGTTAGCTGATGAAATTGTTTCTCCATTATTTCCATCAAATGCTGAGCAATTCTTTCGACTGCTCCCATTTACATTATTATGTTGTTGCTTGTTGACTCCTAGGGAATGAAACGTATTTATATCATTAAGCCATCGTGAGGGAGAATAATGATGTCAGTAGTACAGGACATAACATGAACATGGCGTCAGAAGAATAAAGAGGAACATGACGTATAGTATTGACCAAGATATATGACGTCAGTAGAATAGGAAGAAGAAAAGTTACTATTCTAAACATTATTATTATTATTTATTAGAATTGAGTTAGGACTGGGATCAAAGCTACCCAGTAAAATATCATTATTATAATCATCTGTATGGAAAATCAACTGTAAATAATTAGCTTATGCACTGAAACATATGCTTAAGAACTTATCAAAAATCTTGTATATTTGTACTCTACTGGAATAAAATTTGTACACGATTTATATTCGGATAATCTTACACATATAAACCCTCATACATCTAGTTACAATAGCAATGAAAATGGCATATTTTTCTTATAATTAACTGTGATATTGACAGCCCTTTATCTCAGAAACTACAATGTATCTTATTCTAAAATACAGCTGAGCACGGAGTACAACTCGGGCACTTCATGCTGGCATAAAAACAGAGAGGGTTACACCTCGTGAATTTTATTTTAGTCTGTATAGTTGACAGAACCTAAAGTAATTGCATTATACTTAGGGCTGACCAAAAATTCGCAGAGTGATACCTTAATACCTTATAATAAGATTTAAGTAACTTTCTTTCTATATAGTCCGGTAGAGAAAAAAAGCTCTATCTTTCTATGCTATTTGATCGTACTTCAACTAATATCATAATATTAAATTATGTATAAAACCTATTTCGGCTAGGCCACTTATTTTATAACTGTACTTTTTGTTTTCAAAATCGACAAAATTTTGAGCAGTCAAATTACGACCATGCGAAAAAGATCGTGTTTTCGATACACAACAAATTCATTTTTATTATTTCATTGTTTCATCACCTGATATGCTTTATCGAAAGAAAAACAAAATGTATCACAAGATGCAGCGTGAAAAGCTCTACAATCTACACAGTAAAGCTTATTGTAATTGTTTTCAGAAAAAGGAAAATTTGATGTAGCCAATGTGTGTGATGCCCAAAATTTGATCCCTCAAAACTTTATCGATTTTGAGAACAAAAAGTAGAGCCATAAAATAAGTAGCCGTATGTAAATTGTAGAGCTTCACATGCTGCATCTTACGTCACCAATGCTTTTCAACAGTGGTGTAAGTAATGGAAGCTAGAGATTCAACCAACAAAAACAGAAATACTACACTTCTATTACAAGTGTAGTGAGGTTAAACCTCATCCAAAGAAAAAGTATAAAAACGAAGTTAATGTGAACGTAGAAAATGCAGTAGTTCGACCTCAAACATCAGCTAGATACCTCGGTGTGATCTTTGACCGAAAACTGTAATGGCGAGCAACATTTAACATATAGAAACGAAAATTCAGTCAAGAATAACTCTGTTACGTTTCTTGGCAAGATCAGCTGGAGAAGAAAACAATACTAAAATCATGATCAATCTATATATGTCACTAATCAGAACAGTCATAACACACGCGTCAGCTGTTCTATTAACAGGAGAAGAAAAAATATGGGAAAGACTACAGGCTGTTCAGAACAAGGCAATTAGGGCAGCATTAGCTGTTCGAATGTACACATCCGCGGACTATATACATCGGACCAGCAAACTTCAAAAGATAAAGTCACACTTATTCAGACTAACTCAACAAGCGTTGATCAGAGTGCAATATTACAAAGACAGGACTACAGAAGAAAATATTAATAATATCTTGACAACTTTGTAGGTTTCAAATCGTAGTTTTGTGCATCATTACTTTGATTGTGAAATATGTACTTTCAAAGCTCGTTTAATGGCGCTTCCAATGAAGTGCAAAAATCGGCTCCATCTTTCCAAAGAAAAAACTAGATAGGTTTGCGAAATTGTGTCTGAGTTTTTTATAGGAGGAGTCAAGACTAATGATTTTTTTCTTTTTCTATATTCGTATAATATACCATTCGATTCTGCTTTGTTCAAGGATCAAGAATATTATTTTATTTTAAGCAAATTTATTCCAAGTGGAATATCTTCTCATCTTCTATGTTGTCGTTAGTTTTGTAACACTTGTTGTATTTCTTTGCCAAGTAGAAGACGGCGAGAATCCAGAACACATTCAGCACCAGAATAACGCCCATGCTGAATAGTGCAGACTTCCTCACATCGTTAGTATCTGTAACGGAGTTCTGGAGGGCCGTGACACCAAATCCCATAGCCTTCCCCAACTTACCGCAGAGTCCATCGAAGACGCTTTTGTAATGAGGACGGTACAGAGGGTCGATCTTCATGCTGATGGCCTCCTTGCAGATGTCAAA